TTCTTAAACTTTACATATGATTCAATGGAAAAATAAGTCAAGTATCTGTCCAACAGTGATTGACAGTTCAGAGGGAATTACTTATTACTCTTTATTTACTCTACAAATGACTGTGGTTCAGAGGGAAGAGACGTCGTCTCCCAACTGAGAGTTGGAGGTTTGAATCTCGGTGCCTGCAGTCCACGTGTCGAAGTGTCCTTGAGCAAGACACTGAACCCCCCATTGCCCCTGATGGTTAGAGCCATTGGTTGAGTTGGCGCCGCAGATGGCTGCTTTGGTTCTGTACCAGAAACATATTCCTTGTGTGTAACATGCTTGGCCAAATAAAACTTGGTTATTAATAAATAAAACTTGAGGTGATAATCACTCAGTCTGCCGGGCTCACAGCCACATTCATCTCTCCCTCTCGTTTAATACAATCTCGTTTCATTTCAACTTGCTCATAACCAACAGCTATTAGCTTAACAAGCTTGTTCGGTTCACACAAACTGGTGGTGCATGATGGTCTCTGAGCAAAGCTGAAATTATCACCTCTCTGCAAGTTTATGCTGATTTATCTGGTGTTTTTGTCTTACGGACTTTTTACTGACTGAGGTTTTATTCCACATACAGGAACAAGCTTCACTTCACTTGATGCAAGAGAAAACGTTCGTCCTGTAGAGCGCTGAAAGGGTGTGCTGGATTTATAACATGACACAAAACGAGAGCATCGTAGTGAAATGCACAACGGTACAACAATCATTTTATCTCAGTTATTTTGTGTTCCAACTTCATAGTTGGAAATAAAATTTGATCATTCACCCAGCCCTAGTGTCTCATGAACACAAATGTCTTTGGCCCCAACATTTTCATTTTTAACAGTGAATTTAACTAATGAACCAATCAAATTCTTAATTACATGTCAGATTAAAATGACTTCAAACTGTCTAATTTCAAAACTTAAAGTGAGAGCAGGTCATCGGTGTTATGTGACCAAAGACATCGGAGGACAACTGTTCTACTTCTGAGTTGAAATGGACATTGTGACGGGAACAAGAGCAGAGGAGGTGAAAATGAAGACTGACCTCATCAGAGACAGTGTGTGTGTGTGTGGGGTGGGGGGGCTGTGAATTGAAACCTGAGGTGAGACAGTGAAGCAGATGAGTGAGACTGTGAGGGGGGTGTGGGATGCTTAAGGTGGGATACTGGTGGCCCATCCTAACTCCCATAGCTCAGCCCATTACATCTGACTTATTAAGGTCACTCCAGTGTGTAATTATAACACAGGCAAATGATAAGATCATCACAGGGGAGCAGACTGATGCTGCAGTCATGATGTTTACTCACTAGCACCAGATTTACTAACCTACAATTACACACAGCACGTTTCTATTCTTATCCAGCTAATCCAGGATAATGATAGAGACCTGCTTTTCACCTCTACACACATCTGCTCAGCCACTGTGCAGGCCACAGGATGATGCTTGGCTCCTGCCTGGATTAAACAGAGGTAAATGACAGCGTGGTATTCGTTTAGCCCAGGTTGAATGACCAGAGCCTCTCGGAAATCATTACACAGGGTTACTTATTGCAGTTGGGACATAAAGGGCCATAAATACTCGCCGATGTTGAGGAGAAGAATCCTCTGGTTAAAAATAAGTCGGCTATATAGTGACAAGTGAACATTTTGACTCTGTTTTTGTTTTTTGTGACAATGCAAAGTTGTCAGTCACTTCAGTAGCAAACATCATCTTCAAATCTGGGCTGAAGAGGCCTCTAGCTGCACAGCAGTAACCAGGCAGTAATGGCCAGTAACTACTGATGTGAAGCTCGTGCAGAGGTGACACTGATTTCCCTTTCCTGGCCAGGGGAGAGCGGAGACAGCTGGGCAAGGTGTAAAACCCAAATGGTAGGGGACACCAGACCATCTCATTCTGGGGGTAGATAAGATCATATGTAATCATAAACTCCATGGTAATATGCATCATACAGAGAAGGTTTGTTCCACTTACCGTGCCGCCATTGCTCAGATCCCCATGGAGTAGCTGGTCATGCTTTGTCAGATTCAAAAGACCTTGTGCCGTTCACTCCTGGGAATGGGGTGATCCAAGACCTGTGTCAACTCTGATGTAAATGCCCAAATACAAGGACAGATGCAGATTCAGTCAC